TAAGAACACCCTATGTAGCAGTTCTACTCTATGGGGTTGCCATGAGTCAGAATCAACTCCACCACAAAGGGTTTGGTTTAAACAGAGAGGCTAATTGTCCTGCCTAACCCCACCTCTCCAAGCCCGGTAGAAATGAAAGATATAGAATCAGTGCTTTTTAATCTGTATCAGAAATTCTCAGCCTGGCCTGCCCCTGAAATTGTATGCCTGTTTTATGCTTAAATTGGTTTATGCATTTTTCTGGAAATGATCTATATTTTTATTAGCTCCGTAGAGAAGTTGGATATTTAAAAAAAAAATTGCTCTGAGCCGTGTACCCTCTTTACTTCTCTCTGTGTGAGTGACCAAATCCAAAAGGCTGATTGTGTCCTTTCTATAAACCACTTTGTGTTATGACTCCAGGATGCTTCTTGAACCTTGTTTTCAAGTGAACTCTATAAACCAACCCTCTGCTTAACAAAGGCATTTTGAACTATATGAATAATAAATATATCATAAAAATTCCTGTTTGAATAAAGAAGCATGGGAGATAATTATGCAATTCACTTAGCCACTATGTTTTAGTTATTTTATTAATTTTATTAATGTTATTTCTTGTTTCTCATTACTTTTCTAAATGACCTGAGTGTGGTCTCACTGGCTTTAGGAACCTTGATCATGGTGTTAGGTGAAAAAACACCACCACAAATTTTTTTTTTTTTTAACTCTAAACATTACTAAGGATGAAGACTGAATTTAGGGCTTAAAAATGATTCAATTGGAATGTGAGGAAATTGAGACATCACTATGTAACAAGCCCTTAGCATATTTGTACTTATGCCTGTATACATGATGTTAGGCTACATACGTTTATTACAGTGCTTTGGGGTTTATTTACCACATGAACTCTTAAAATTCTTCCCACAAAAAAAAACGGATCTTCATTAACCAGGATTTCTTTTCTGGCCAGCGAGATTTTAAAGATATTTTTTCCTTCACTTCCTTCCTTCCTTCCTTGTACTGTCTGTGCTTAATGTGAATCTACAATCACTGCAATTTAGATGGATGCAACTCTATTTTGTAACAAATCACCAGAAGAACTCCTGCTGCGGAGTTTCCTTCTAGATCTGACCATTAAACCGAAAACGCATTCTCGTGATGTGCTTGGTCTTTAACTATGATTAAGTAAGCGAGCTCGAGATTCCACAAGGTGGGGGAGGGGGAGAATAGATCCCAAGATTTGGCAAATTCTTTATATTTTTTCCGACTTAAACCCCCGACACTTCAGAGAGTACTCTTCTCCCCGCAGCCCACCCACGCAAACACACATGCGCGCGCGCACACACAGACACACACACACACACACTTTAGAAGATAAAGGTGTTCTAGCAAAATCCTCTGAGCTGCCGGTCTGGGATTTCACTTAGAGAATTGGCGGGGTTCTCAAGCGTCAGGTCTCTAAGTGCCAGAGCGACAAAGCACACCTGGGCTGATAAGGCGTGTGCCAAGGCTCTCAAGTGGGAATTCCTGGCACTGCGAAGCCGCGGCTGGCGTAGGCACTGGAGCCGGGTACAGCAGGGCGGAAACTACAGTCTTAGGTTCGCTTTTCTTGAACCTGCCAGCAACGCAAACCGAAGTTTGCGCCAAGAACACGCTTCTCCGCGCCTGCAGCTGGAGCAAGAGCTCGATTTCCCGTACAGAACCAGGGGCTTTCCTGAAGGATTCAGCGAGGAGGCAACGAGATACAACCGCAGAGTCCTCTACAGATCCAACTCCCTAGGGCTGGTGGGGACTGGAAGGAACGAGTCCTGATCACGGGACCTTCCTTGGTTGTGAGCCAGCGCCCAGCTGTCCTTGACCTCCTGTGCAGCCAGGGGCGCCAGCCGGGGAAATGAAAGTAAAACCTGTCCTGGCGCGGACCCAGCTGGAAGCTGGCGACAAGTAGGTCGCAGCCCCCGATAGACTGACAGCCTATCTTGGACAGGGTCAGTGGGAAGAGCCCGACCTGCAGAGGAAGAAGTGAAAGGAAGAGATGGGAAATGGGAAACGAGTGCAAAAAGCAGGCCACAAGTCCCCAGCAGAGTAGTCCTGCAAGGCAGACAGACGCGCCACCTGACCTGATCTGCTGCGGAAACGGCCCTGCTGCCAGACAGGAGGCCTGAGCCGTGCACGGTCGCCACGCTGTGTCTCCCTGGCCCTTGGTGCCCCAAGCCCTTACCAGAACCAGAGCCAAGAATCTGTTCTCCGCCTTTAACTGGAACTCAGGTCCGCTCAGGTGACTTCCTCAGGGAAGAGTCCTCAGAATAAACAACCTTCACGCGGCCATTCCTTCCCTACGGGCAATGTCCACAGTTCAGTCCTGAGAGCCAGAAGGCAGCTGAGCCAGCAAGGTCCAGGCCACGGAGTGCCCAGCCGCCTTTGCACTGGGTCTCAGAACCAGTATGGCAGAACAGGTAGGAAGCTTAGAGATCGTCTGCGGGCAACTTAAAGATGGGGAAACTACAGAGGGACGTGACTTGCTCAGTTCACACCACAAATTGTCATAGAGTGAGGACTAGAAGCCAGTCAGCAGCTCTCAGGTGGTCTCATGCCCACAGCCTCTCAGTATAGGTGTTAGAGTTTAGGACCTGAGGCTGAGGTAGTAGGTGATACAAGACTAGATACTCACATGGAAGAAGTAAGGAGCCCTGCAGGGCTGAGCCTTCCCTCCTCAGTTTGGTCCCCAGATGGGAAGTATGAAAGTGACGTCAAGAAGCAGCCATGGAACAGAGAGTCCCTGACCTGACCGAACAAGAGAAAAATGGGATGCAGAACTCAAATTCTAGTAAAAAGACCAGACTTAATGGTTTGATTGAGACTGGAGGGACCCCGGAAGACATGGCCCTCAGACTCTCTGTTAGCCCAAAACTAAAACCATTCCCGAGGCCAACTCTTCAGACAAGGATGAGACTGGACTATGGGACATAAAATGATACTCGTGAAGAGTGTGCCTCTTAGCTCAAGTAGATACATGAGACTAAATGTGCAGCTTCTGTCCAGAGGTGAGATGAGAAGGCAGAGAGGGTCAGCAGCTGGCTGAATGGACACGGGAAATCCAGGGTG